TAACACTTAATTGATTATCTAAAGAGTTAAAATAATGAGGACTTGTTAGCAGATCACAAGTAAAGAATGAAAGTAAAGTGAGTCATAGATAATATCATAGTTCCCAGCTTGGTTAGCTGATGAGCTAAAAATGCTCTGAAGAGATAGGAACTAGAGACAAGGTAGGCTGACAAAAGATAAGTTCATCTGGGACAAGTTGAGGTTCTGCTTTGTAAAGAAAGACAAGTGGGAGCCCCTGCTGTGGCTGGGAAATGGGGTCTGAGTTTCAGGAGAATGATTATGGGAAAGTGATAGAAGGGTCTGAGCCTGCTCAGGGAGAAGTTCTTGTTCTGGATTAATGTGTAATTTGCTGTCAGAATGATAAATGATATAACCTCAATTATTAAAAAAAAAAAAAAAAAAAAAAGGAAACCAAGAGATTAATGATACCTGTTAAATTAAGGGCTAACCAAGGAAAAATGGTAAATAATTCAAGATTTCTAATTTTGATACCTGAACTCTTTGAGGAGGGATGCTAAAAACAGAACAAATTCCCAGTTCCCAATTAATACTTTTCTCTAAGCCACTACTGGCTTGTCACTTGAGGCCTTGGGAAATTTTTACTGCACCAGGCCTCAGTTATCTCATCTGTAAAGCAGGGTTGCTGAGAGGATTAAACAATCCTGCAAAGCACTTAGCATAATGCAGGGTGCAATTTTGCTAGAAAACAGACAATAAAAACTACCAAAGAAAACCACCATTGAAAGAATAAGTAAACATAGCTGTAAAGGCAAACACTATTCAGATGGACCCTTACTGCTATTCCCAGGATATCCAAAATGGGCATGTGTATTTGGTCTGGCATGCCACCTATCATTACTATGATTCTGCAAAATATTTCTTGTATTATTTTTCTATTGCTGTGTAACAAATTACTACTAACTTGGCAACTTAATTCAAATGCGTTATCTCAGTTTCACAGAATGGCGAGATACTCTACTTAAGGTTTTACTGGGCTGAAACCAAGTAGTTCTTGGCTGGGCCTGTAATTCTGGTTCTCATAAGGCCCTCTTCCAAGGTCAGAGATTGTTGGCAGAGTTCATGTCCTTGCAGCTGTAGAACTGAAGCAGTCCTTTCCCTTTTAGCAATTGGCTGGTGATGACTCCGCAACTCCAGGCTGCCCACAGTTCCTAATCCGTGGTCCCAATAGGCAGTTCACAGCATAGATGTTGGTTTGCTCCTAGGCCTGGGAAGGACTTCTTAGGCATTGATTTCCCCTCCTGCTTCTAATCTCTGACTTCTCCAGTGGGCCTCTGACCTCTAAGCAAGATTTAATAGGCTCAGGTGTGTAGCCAGTCTCGATAATCTTCCTATTTTAAGATCAACTGACCTGGGACATTAATTACATCTTCAAATTCCTTCACAATGGCACCTAAAATGGCGTTTGATTGAAAAACTGAAAGTGTGTACAGTAGGGGTCTGGGAGTCTGGGGGGCCATTTTAAGAATCCTGTCTACAACATTCTTGAAGCAAGTTCAGTCACATGTTAGTGGCATTACTGCATTTAACATTTGCCCTTTGGGCTATTTCTCTACACTCTATTAACATTTGAATAACAAGTTGCTCAATATTTCTAAGGCAGAGACATGCATTTGAAAGCCTGACATATTTTTTTGGGTGCTCTTAGGATACCTCTGAATGTGACATTATAGGTCTTTCACCTTTGACTCTGTGCCCCTAACACCTATATAATCATTGGGTCAAGGCAAGGATTTATCAGTCATTAAAACTTTTCTTTTCACCTCAAAATTGCTTACTGTTCCTGACTTAAAAATTTGTGAAATGTCTGGTTGATCAAGTGTAGTCCTAGCAATAAATCAGTTGAGGACAAGGCTGATTTGCGGGGGTGCTTAAACATATGCTTGCCCTGAACATATATTTAACTTAGGAGCAATATGTTTTATGTTGTCAAAGCAACTGGCTTCACTCAAGAGGCTCCTATTTCAGACACTCAGGCTAAGAATCTAGTAATAAAAAGCAATGAGGCCCTAGGTGGTATGGCTCAATAAATAGAGCGCTGGCCTGCGGAGTGAAGGGTCCCGGGTTCAATTCTGGTCAAGGGCACATGCCCGGGGTTGTGGGCTCGACCCCCCAGTGAGGGATGTGCAGGAGGCAGTTGATCAATGATTCTTTTATTATTGATATTTCTTCTCTCTCTCTCTCCTCCCTTCATCTCTGAAATCAATTATACACACACACACACACACACACACACACACACACGCGCGCGCGCGCGCATGTAGTGGGAGTGGAGTTGTTGTATAAATTATGGCTGAAATGCTTAACCTTTAGGCCACCAGAAACACTGTCTCTGCAGTTGGTCTCAGCCAGGTGAAATTGCAGAACTTTTTAAACTGGTCTATATTTGGACCACTCCAGTGCTGACAACAAAGCTATCTCAGCAATTGGTGGACCTTGAGACCCATTACTTCTCCCCCAACACACAGCTAGATCTAATGGTCAATCTATACCTGGTTCCTTTAATATGTTCAGACATATTATATTGTTAGTTGATCACAGGATTCCAGACTAGTCAATGCAATACACAAAAGAAACAAGAAACTGCATAATGATTTTCTTGATCATCTTGAGATGCCTACATTTATATTATGTAAAGGTTGAGCTAATAGGTATCTTGGACATCATGAAAAATGTCAATGTTCACATGTATGTGCACATTTTGGCCTGTGTTACAAGGAAAACTCTAAGTGCATTTTAAATTACCCATTTTTGTAGTTTTTCTTTTCTCTCCCTCTTTACTAACGGTAATTACAAGTCTTTATAAACTCTCATTTCCACGCTGTTTAGAGATTCTAAAGCCCATAAATCATAATTAAGTTGGTGTTCTTATATTACTCAGTGAATAACCCATTGATTCTTGAGCCTATTTGTCCTGCTCACCCCACTTCATCCCCAACAAAGTGGAAGATAATAGGGGCAGTAAGTGCACTTTTTGCATTGCAGGACTAAAGCAATTTCTTTTTTTCTCTAAAGACAAGTCATCTCTACAACAAATAGGATCGTTGACTTGGCACTGGCAAAAAGCAAATTTTATAATACCCTTCAAAAGAAAAACAATTTTTAACTACAAATTGAAACTTATTTGGGGGAAGTGGGAGGGGTTATTTCCACGTAACTGCCTATAGACATGATAGAACAATACTTTATTCTAACATAATTAAATGGCCCCAGCTGAGAAGAACCAAATAAAGTTTGGTAATATATATGGTGAGCAGGCAAGTTTATTTGGAAAAATCTCTCATTTCCTTGCAGTACAAATTCTGAAAAAGATGTTATTGGAGTCAGCAAAAGTAGGCTTACAATTGTAATAAAAAATAAATAATATAATAATTAAAAATACTAATATAAGAAAAAACTCAACTGTAAACCTACTTACATGTACCACACTGTACATGTAAGTTTGAATTATTCTATTTAACTAGTAGGTCAAATAAATAAGTTGGATCTGTATTTTTTGTTTAACCTAAGAAAGTGTTCGGACTCTAGTTATCCATTAGAATGGCTTGCCTTTTAAAGCAGGAATAACTTTTCATTGATATTTTAGGGGATGAATCATTATGTATTATGGGCCCTCAAGAAGGTATCCTGCTTTGGGTCTGTATGGTCCCTTCCAACTTAATACGTTTACACTCATTAATGTCACATAACTGAATTGTGCATTCCACACAAATACCTTGCTATCTGTGTTGAGGTATCTTTCTCAATTGCAAAGGTAAAATATAGCACCACCCATACCATGAGCTCTGATATAGACAATGCAAGAATATTACTGTCACTTATGAAGCTTAACAGACTTAGGCACATCTACATAATACTAGAAAAAGTAAGAGCCCTCAACTTACACTGATTGACAGCTGAAGAATATCTTTCTGCTCTGAAAAATAGCTACATATAACTTTATAGAGAAGCCATGGTATAACAACAACAAAAAAGCAGGCTTCTCTTAGATATGAACTGCCTAATTTTAAGTCCTTATTTCATAAGCATCTCAATTTCATCACAGAAACATTTCCAGTATTTGGGGGGTGGGGGGGGTGAAAGGGGAGGAGACACACAAACTTTTTTAAATTAATAAGGTATTGAATTCCTCTCAAATATTTTGGCATTTGAATCTATTATTCTGTTTATTTTTATGATCATCTAATTGTTCCATTGGTAATTCTTGCTTGCCTCTTTGGAACCATCCAACTTATGAAAGACTAAAACAAGAACACCTAGACAAGAACAAATTTTAAGCCCATCACTGACTTGCTGAATGAACCTGGGCCAATCACTAGGACTCTTTTTTTAAAGTTCACTTACCACCAATGAAATAACCATCTCAGAGTAGCTTTGAAACTCTTATGTGACAGATTTGATAATGTCTCAGTAAATATGAGAAGTGTACATATATAATTTTGTATAATTCTGCATATTGCATGCCTACCCAAGATTGGGCTAAATGAATAGGTATTGACCCATTATGGTTGAAGTAAAAAGATCTTATTTTAGTTCATTTTCCCATTTGGTTTATCACTTCCTCTCTTTTTATTGATATCAAAGAGAGAGAGGAAGGGAGGAAGAAATATCAATTTGTTGTTCCACTTGATTGATTCTTATATATGCCCTGACCGAGAATTGAACCCGGAACCTTCACCTATTCGGACGACGCTTTAACAAACTTACTTACCTGGCGAGGGCTTTTTTATTTCATTTTTTATTATATTCTCCTTCCCCAGGTAAGACAAAGAACCGGTTCTGTTCTCTGAGGAATTCATTGGTCCTTGTGGAGCCCTAGAAGGCCACAAACACTCATGGCCAAAGACTGTAAACTAATGTTTGTCTTTTCAGTCTTGTAGTATCTGCAGAACTGAAGTATGTCAATGTCCATGTGTCTGTCCAGACATCCATAAGCTCCATGGCTGCTGTGTGTGTCATGGAGACAGGGGCAGATGACAAATTCAATGGTGGGACTTCCCCTTGGGGTCTGTCAGGATGACTACACCCCAACAAGCAATGCCTAGGAAAAAAACAACAGTACCTTATATGAATGTTGCATTTTAGTTTACCAGATGCTTTCATGTATATCATCTTATTTAACTCAACATTCCTAGACGATATAAAAGAATGAAGTTCAGAAAAGGGAAAGAAAAAGTTAAGGGGAAAAAATCCACTTGTCTCCACAAGTTAGACATGAACTTAAAGGGAATTGATGTGCACAATCTAGTTACAAAGAGATACGAAAACCTAAAATTCTATTCACATAATTGGTTTCAGGAGCTAAGAGACTCCCTACATTTAACTGGACATCTTGACCATCACTTCGTACACCTACAGATAGGGACTGTGGGCCACAGGAACTGGGGGCATACCTAGCATGTGGGCTTTGAACCCATGTCTACAATCTGACTTCCAAGCCCAAGTTCTAAGTTAAGTGCCTTTTCTCAGGCTTTCTCCAGGACCTGGAGAAACACACACACACACACACACACACACACACACACACACACAAACCCCATGGGCTTTGATGCCAGATATACCTAGGATGAAAGGTTAGCTGCAGCACATCATGGGTGTCTGACTTAACTGGATTCTTACTTCTGTGTCTTAGTGAACAAACTATCTCTAACCGCTATTGTTGATAGGGCTAAGAACTCATAAGAGTTCTTGAGAAATACTGATTTGTCAAAAGTCAGAGTCCCAACCACTTCCTCTCACCATCTCTGCATCTTGTTTGGAATTGCTCCCACGATTTCCAGCCTGAGCGCCCCGTCCCCACCCACATGGCCGTGCCCATTCCTCTCTCCCTCTCCTCCCCCTCCCGCCCCACGGGCCCTGCCCCCGCGCTCACTGATGCCGATGACCATCTGTGCAACAGTGCCTGGACTCGGGGGGTATCCCAGCTTCAGCGGCTTCCGCGCCACCCAGTACACGTAGCCGCCCGCCCCCGTGAGCCCCGCCCCGGAGAGCACGCGGCAGCTCCAGCAGTCCCGCAGGGAGGGGGCCTGCTCCGGGGAGGCCGGGGCTCCGGGGGCGGCGAGGGGCGCGCGGCTAGCGGAGGAGGCGGCCTCAGGAGCCGAGGCGACCTTGTCAATCTCAAAAGGCCGGGTCAGGGAAGTACCCATGTTCGGGAACTCGAATCCCGTGGCAGGAGCCTTCCGGAAATAAACTGAAGTAAAATGTGCAGCCGGAAAGCAAGGCGCTGGGTTCCGGCTGCAACCCGAGGGCCGCTGGGAAATGTAGTTCCGGCGTGCGTGGGCATGGAACTCGATGGAGGGAGGCGGGGCTGATGGTCAGCTATAGGGACTTGCTAGAAGCCATCCTCCCCCCCCCCAAAAAAAAACACAAAACAAAAAAACCCTTTTAAGAACACCGATATATGCACTCCCTAAATATCTCAATTTTCAGTCTCCATAGAGGAGGTCTGGGTTTCTCATTTTTCTGCCTAGCACGAAAGGGGAGTGAGACCTTGAGCACTTCACCTGTGCGGAGGCGTGTGACAATTGAGTTTTATATGTGCTTACCTATATGCTAGACTCTTTGCTAAGCGATTATCTATATTATGACATTTAATCGTTGCTACGCAAAGTAGTATCAATTTCCTAATATGTGACGAAATGGGTTAGGTGAAACCAAAACTGGTTACAGTAATTATTTTTCAAACCAATGTCCATGAAAACAGTAAAATTTCTTAAGTGCTACCTGAACATATTGTGAAGGGACTACACAAATATAATCAAGGTATTGAAAATGGGGTTAAATTACGTGGCTAAGTACTTTCAATTTCTCTTTAGCCTTTTTTTTCTTAATGTCATGATCTCAGTTTTTTTTTTTTTTTTTTCAGTTTCTGGTTTGAGATCACTGGAGAAAATTCAATTCAATATCAGGCTAACCTTTTTGAGAAGTTAATAAAGGAATTGTTCTCACAGGCTTACCTTTTTATCATCCTATAAGCATGGACTTTTAATTCTGATTGCTTCTTTGCAATTCAATTTCTAGGTCATCCACTCCCAACTTATTTACCTTTCATTTTATTTTGGTAGAATCAGGTATATATTTCTTGGACGGGGTTGTTCAGAGAGGGCTAGTAAGAAAGATAGGCATTTAGAGTTCAGAGGTTGTTTCTGTTAGAGGAGATAGATGAAAATAGGATTAATTTAAAGTTTGAACCTTTCTCCTTTAGAATGGCTTAAAAAAAAATGAACATGATAAAAAATAAATTCACTATTCTACTTTCTAAAACATGTGAAGGCTAAAAAAAAAAAAAAAAGACAAAGATGAATACAAGGATAATAGGAAAGAATAAAGTGGCCTGATGCTTAATTTTAAAGAATCTTCCCATTTCATAACACACACATAAGTAACAATGTGTTGTATAGTAAAAAGACAAAGGTTTGGTAAATTTGGGTTCTGTACCTGGCTCTGTCATTATGAGCCAGACATATAACTTAGAGAACATATTTTATTCTCTCTGTCTGTAGTTACCTCATGTTTGAAATAAGGAGACTTGGAATAAATGATACCTAACATTCTTTCCTAACTTGGAAATTCTATTATTCAGCTTATTTTGTATGGCACTTAGCACAAAACTATTTGAAGTGAGATAGTTTTGTGCTAAGTGCCATACAAAATAAGCTCAATAGTGTTTCACTTAGAGATTCATAATTTATGGCTGCCTCTTTCTATGCCTGTTAAAACATTTTATAGTCTATGTGATTTCTTCTTATTTATGTGAAATCATATCATCATTTGGCAGTGTTACCAAACATTTTGATTATACACCTCTACGAATAAAAAAGATTGAGCATACAATAGCATTTCTATATGCCTATTTATTATAAATTATATATTATATACTACTTTATTGTATAGACTAAGATAAAATAATAGAAATTGAAATTTCAACATTTTCTTATATTCCACTATCTGGAATTGTGCATTTCCATAGATGCCAAAGTTGTTTGACATGTGACTATACTAATTTATATTTCATATAAAAGATTATTTCTTTTTAGTGTGCTTATCACAGTTAAGAATGCCTGGAAAGGACATATTTAATTCTCCAAACAAATATTATTTTAATGTTAAAATCTTTATTGTTGAAAGTATTACATATGTCCTCTTCCCTCATTGGCCCTTTCCAACCCCCCACCCCCACCGCAGGCTTGCACCCCTCATTGTTTGTGCCCATGGGTTATGCATATATTCATATAAGTTCTTCCAAACAAATATTATTAAAATAGCCCATAATATATTTCCCAAGTAACAGGCAAGATTTTATTTTAACCACTGTTTTTTTTTTAAAGTAATTCTAAAGGATGTGCTTGTTCTCTTATGATTGTCTCCAATGAATGATTTTAAGTTGTGTGTGAGTGTTTTTCTTTTTTGTTTGTTTGTTTGTTTGTTTGTTAATTGTGATAGCCCTCCAAAACTCAACAGTGGTTTCTATGGAACTCATACTACACTTAGTATATATTGAAATTGAGGTATGTTGTTTAGAAAATTATTAGAAAACTTATGATATCTCTTGATAAATAAAATCATAAGGTTTGAGATGAATGAAAACAAGCAAAACTGTAATTGGAGGAAAAAGTGTGCATTATGCTGGTAGTAAAAAGGAGGATAAGGTTGAAACCTAACTTTATGTCATTACCTCTATTGTATTTATTCATTTGACTATTTATTATCTCTATAGTTCATTTTGGCAGTTATGTCTCTCAAGTTCTTATGACCTCTCCAATTACGTATATACTAAAAATTTTTCTTCACATTCCTCTCTCCCAGTCACCCAGATCCTTCCCCTTCCTAACACAGTCAGTCTTATCAATGTCTTATATGTATTTTTAGAGATGTCTGTGTAAATGTGTGTATTCCAATAATTTTGGAGATCATTCCATATGAGTCATATTAACTACTCTCATATTGATAGATATTAAAGGACATTTAGGCTGCTTCTACTCTTACTATTACAAATAGTGCCACAGTAAATAACCTGTGCATAACATTGTATAATAAACAAATGATTATATCTTAGAATATATTTCTAAAAGGGTGGAGTATTTCTTACCTTGATGTACATTACCAATTACTTTTCACAGAAGTCATACCAATTTATACTCTTACCAACAATTATGAGACCTGTGTCCTCATCATATTTCTACATAGATTCAATTATTGAATTTTGATCTCTGCCAATCTTAAGGAAGGTTAGAATAGTTAAGTTTTATATATATATATATATATATATATATATATATATATATATATATATAGAGTGAGTTTCTTAATGTATGTCTAAAAACAATTCGCATTTCCTTTTCTGTGAACTTTAATATTTTTTGTCCATTTTTGTTAGATTGTCTTTTTCTCATTGACTTCTAAAAACTCTTTTTAAAAAAAATATATTTTATTGATTTTTTTACAGAGAGGAAGGGAGAGAGATAGAAAGCTAGAAACGTCGATGAGAGAGAAACATCGACCAGCTGCCTCCTGCACACCCCCTACCGGGGATGTGCCTGCAACCAATGTATATGCCCTTGACCTGAATCGAACCCGGGACCTTTCAGTCCGCAGACCGACACTCTACCGCTGAGCCAAACCGGTTTCGGCTAAAAACTCTTTATACATTAGTGAGATTAAACTTATGCCTGTGATATAAGTTCATGTTTTTGTCCTCCCAATTTGATATTTGCCTATTGGTTTTGCTTGTACTTTTTAACATGCACATTTTAAAAACATGTAATTAATTGTATTTGCCAATCTTTTATAGCTTAAGATCTACTTTTTATGGTTTCCTCTGGTATTTGAATCTTTTTGTCACTATAGTTCAAAGTTTAATACATTGGAATTTATCTTATTATTAGGTGTCATGAAATGAGCCAGATCTTCTTTTCCTTTTCTTCTCTCTGACTCATTTTCATTTTTCTCAACACTATTTATTAAATAATCCACCATTTCCCCACATATCTGCAATGCCACTTTTTCTAAAATGCTACATATAGATCTATGTCTATTACCAGGCTTTATATTCTGTTCTATGAATTGTCAGTTTATTTGTGTGACATTATTACACTATTTTAATTACTGAAGCTCTGCAATGTGTTAATACTTGAACACTGCCTTCCCCGTTACTACTCTTCTGTTATAGACCTTTCTTGGCTATTTTTACTTGTTTATTTTTCCACATGAACTTTTGACTCAGCTTGATTATTCTGACAAAATGATGCTGACATTTTTATTAGACCTGGGTGAATATTATAATTTTATTTAGGGAGAATTGACATCTTTATGATGTTGAGTCATCCTATCTGAGGGCATGGGCTGCTTTTGTCTTTTGTTCATATCTTAGTTTGTATCATTTTAAAGTTTTTTTTTTTTTTTAAATAATGATCTCATATATTTTCTCTCAGGCATTTTATCTTTTGTGTTGTTACTGAAAATAGGAATTTTTCCGTTTGTGTGTCTTCTAACTGCTTGTGTTTGAATGCAAAAGGTCTATTTCCACATATCCTAACATTGAATTATCAGTGCCTGATGGTGAACCTTTGATATATGGTTGATAGTTTTCTTTTTGGCAATCCTAATTGATTTAGAAGATAACTTTTAGGTCTATTTCATAAAAAGAATTTAGAAGCATTACTTTTTCTCCCTGCACTCTGCAAATCCAATTGAAATCATATGCTCTTTAAAACTTCTACCACTCAAAGTTTTCTCTTCCTATGCTGCTACAATGACAGTGTGCTTCCTGTATACATGGCTTCTTAGTGCATTTTCTTATTTAAATCTACCTTCTTTTGTTCATGGAACAAAACTAAATCAATGGAACCTAGAGATTTAGGTTTTGTAATTCAAGATGTGGCCTTCAACTTCAAGAATTACATTGCTAACTCATTTGGATATGCCCTTGCTCTGCTGTCTCCTCTCTTTAATTAAACACTTGTATGATCACCACTGTCATAGTGATTATGGACGTACATACAAGATGGAGCTTAATCAGCCTTGTTCCTCCCTGGTCATTAAAATAAACAGAATACTTTTCTTTACCTGTTTTGGATAAGTTGGGTGAGGGAGAAGTAAATGATTTGAAATAGTTATTTATTGTAGCATAATCTAGCCTATTTTGATT